GTGGCTCCTGCTTGCCTCTGACTCCCCGGGTCACTCCGCCCCTGAGGCCGTCCCTGCACGGCCCTCTCCAGTCTCCCGTCTCTCCTGCTCTGCTCCTCCATTCTCCCAGTGTCCCCTTCCTTCTCCTGCCCGCTCCTACCCAACCTCCCTCTGTGCCCTCTGCTCTTCCTCCTGAGGACTCCTCCTGAGCACCATCCACGCTGCAGGGTCGTGCCACGTGGGGGCGTCCCTGGAGACCCCTGCCGCCCTGTGGGTCTCCACATCACTGAGTGCTCTGTGAGGCTCCCTGGTGGCCGGGATCCTGCATCCTCCTTGGCCTGGAGGGAAGAGCAGAGGTGACTTTGGCAAACGGCACCTTCACAAGCAACAGGTGCTTTGGACATGATCAGTTTTGTGTGTTTCTTTCCCTTTGTCTGCTGTAACAAAACCCACAGGGAAAGGAATCAGTCCTGACTGACAGCTCTGGGTGTGTCACAGGGTACCTGCAGACAAGTGGCTTGTCACAGAGGCCAGGCCACGCTGAACCCCCAAACCAACCTGGAGAGGGAGGACACCGGAAGGGCCAGTGGGGGGCGGGCTCAGCCTGTGGGAGTCACCAGCTGTACTGGAGGAGCACAGGGGTCACTGAGGCCGAGGGCTGCTGGTGAGTCCTGGGCCCGGTACCAGGGTTCTGCTGCTGCCTCTGAAGGCCTGCGCACACCCACAGTTGCTCACACTCATGGTCACTCACACCCACAGTCTCCACACTCACAGCTGCTCACACACACTTGCAAACTTTCACAGTCACGCTTGCGCACACTCACACACAAGCACGGGAGGGGTGCGTCTGTGGGCTCTGGAGGATCTGTGCCGCCCGGTAGCCCGGAGGTCACGCTGAGATCCGAGGCTGCCCTGAGGGGCCTGGTCTGAGCCCCCACTTCCTGTGTCAAATGGGAACAACTCCCCACAAGGCCTGGGACCATGGACATGACACCAAAGTGACCACCCCCAAAGCACAGGTAAGCTCCCTGGGGACCTCCGCCCTGTGGGTAGCTGAGGTAGGAGGTGCTCAGGGCTTGAGGCTGCCTGAGGCAGCTGGAGCGCCCAGGTGCCAATTCAGGCCTGCGCCACCCCTCTCAGCCTCAGTTTCCCCACCTCAAGGGCCCACTTGTCCTGACTGTGGGGTAAGGACAATGAGCGCCTCAAGGTCCTCAGCCCAAGGCTGGGTCTCCACCTGCGGTCACCCCAAGGCAGAGATGGGTGGCCACAGGTCCTGGTCCCTCTTCCACCTCCAGCACTGCAGCAGTGGGAGATGGGGGATGCATCCCATCAGGAGCCTGGTTTTCTCAAAGACGGGGACAAGGTCCAGCAGAGGCAGCAGGCCAGCCTCTCCCAAAGGCCAGGGAGCTGGGTGTGAAGCTGCCCGTGATGGGGAGGCCCCAAGGCGCCCAGAGACAGCAGGGTGTGGGCCCTGTGGCCACTGTCCTGGGGCTGCAGGGGCTCTGTAGGGGCCGCTCCAGGCCCAGGGCTGGCCAAGGCCACCCTGGACCCTGCAGGGTTCTCAGCCCCCCACTGCCCCACCACTCCTCCATCATCTCCCAAGCTGATACCCTCCTGCCTTCCACCCAGAGCTGGACGCTGGAGGCAAACGCAGCACCAAGGCCCTCTCTGGACCCACCTTGGGTCGCTGGTCTGGCCCAGGGCCGTTTCACCCTCTCCCACTGAGCTGGGCTCTTCCACATGCCCCAGAGCTGCCTCCGAGAGGCCCTAGGAGGTGGGGCACAGGCAGGGGTCCCCAAGACTCACTATGGAAAGTACCCATCTAGCAGCAGCAGCAGCATCTGCCCCAAGTCCCCACCACCAGGGACAGACGGCACAAGCCAGCCGCCTTCATCCTGTGTCTCTCAGAGCAGCCAATCTGGAGCCCAGGCCAGGAAGGGGCAGCTACTACCTCATGCCTAGCAGGCTCCTGCCCCCCAGGGGTGTAGGGCTACTGTGGGCCGCTGACCAGGTCACGGGGGGCAGTGGGAGAGGGAGCCACATGAGCCCATCATCGACCCACAGCTGTTGAGAATTTCCAGTTGGCACCATTCTAGGGTGCTGGGTACCCTGCCAGCTCACACTGTAAGACTTCCTGATCCAGCCTGGGTTCTGGGGGCTCCCACCTGGCTACGGCCGTCCCTGTCCCAGAATGGACAGACAGGAGGCTCAGCCAGCGGGCAGCTCCCCCACTTAACCCCAGGCCCTGTGAAACAGCTGTTCTGCCCCGCAAGGGTGGGGGAATCTGAGAGCAGTTCCATAAAACCAGCAGGCCGTGACGCCTCAAAAGTAAAACCGCCATGAAATGTTACTGCCGCGCAGTGGCAGGGACAGCCGGCTGCCAGGACAAATGTCAGACGGACGGGGATGACCGCCCGCCGGCGACCATGGGCACCGTGGCGGCCCTGTGCCGCCCGGCTCAGAGTCACCTGAAGCTGGGCTTTGGCTTCTCCAGGCGATGTCCTGGCTCAAGGGGGCCCCATCCACTGGGTCCTTGGAGGTCCCTCTCTGCTGCGCTGCTGCCCGGGAGTGAGCCTAAGCTGCGTGGGGTCCACTAGTCTGGAAGTGGGGAACCCTGCCTGACTTGGCCTTCTGTGGGAGCCCAGGCCTTTGGGACCTCGGAAACCAGGCTGGGATCCAGGTTCTGGGAGACAACAGCAGCCCAAGCCCCAGCTGACTCAGGGACCACCGACTCCTGGCTCACAGCAAAGCCGCCCCAGCTCCCCCGCCAGGCTTGAGGTCACCCCCTGGCTGTCAGAATCCACAGCTGTGTGATTCGTTAGTCACTGTGGGAAGCCCATCCCCTCCTCTGCCCAAGCCCCAGGACAGCGACTTCTCCACAGGAAGATGCCACAGGCCCTGGGGATGGATAGGCTCAAGCCTCACACAGCAGCCAGCACAGAGCCTGTCGGCCGTGGCAGGGGACAGCAGTGATGTGGACCCCAAGTGCAGAGGGGTCGGATCGTGGGGTGCTGTGGGAGTCAGGTGTTTGTTCTCAGTGATGGAAAGTGACCAAGAAGAGTGAGGCCAGCACTCCTCCTAGACCGAGCCATGTTCTCCAGACAGGCTGCCTCTTCACAAGGCTAGGAATGGGGGGACATGGTGCCCCAGGACCAGACCCAGCCCTCGATGGGCCTCAGTTTACCCTCACACAGCAGGACTGACACTGCCGAGGGGGTCATGTGAGAGCCTAGGTACCCGACAGCCTGGCGCTGCCTGGTGCCTGGATGCTGCCAGCCCTGCTTGGCACTAATTTACTGCATATTGTTTGGGGAAAGTCAGTTTAATTAAAATCTAAATGAGGTTCCCAGGAGGCCCCTCCCATGGCCTGGTGGGATAGGGGGGTTGGGTGCTCATGATGCCAGCAGCTTTCATGTTTTTGTCACCTGAAGCCCTGCGATAATAAAATTTATTCATAGAATTCACACTCCAGTGGTGTAAATAAATGCGGGCTGAGACGCCGAGAGCCGTGCAGAACCCCAGCCAGGCCAGCTCTGGAGAGGGCACCGACCTCTGCGCTCCGCGCTGTAGATCAAAGCACACAGGGGCACTGAGGGCCAGGGGCCACCATGGTCAACGACATAGAGGACTCCAAATGACCATCGCCGGGACGTTGTCTCAGCTTGTGTGGGGAGGGCAGGCCATGGTGCAGGACACAGGACCCCTCCACCCACCCTGTGCTAGGGCAGTGGGTCTCCATCGCCCGGGGGGTGCTGCTAGGGTCCCCCAGGTCTGCTATCTGCCCAACCAAGTGCCCAGCACCACCAGGTGGCCCCTGGCAGGCAGAGTGGCCACAGCAGGCGGCACGCTCTTCAGCAAGAGAGAGGCTGTGGGAGGGGCAGCCGGCTTGGCCCCTGGGTGGGAGGAGCCCCGGCTCAGCACCTGCAGGATCGGGCAGGACAGGCCAGGGCTGCCCAGCACAGAGGAGTCTGGGGCTGCTCTGGAGCTGGGCAGCAGCCACAGCCTTTCCCTCTACCTCTAGCCACACAGCCCTCTGGGTGGGGCAGCTCTCAGGCTCTCTGCCTCCACAGTTCCAGGAAGTCCTCACAGCGTGGCCTCAGGGCCTGGCCGGCATCCACAGGTACTGGGGCCCTGGCGCTGAGGTACAGCAGGAGCCCAGCAGTGGTCACTCTGTTACAGGTGCCTCACACCCAGCCACCAGCTCTCTGTGGTGGGCTTGGGGCCCCACTGCTCCCCATGGGCTGTGGTGAGCCAACCTGCCCCTGGAGAATCACGTCGAGGCTGGGCCCTGCATCTGTCTGCTTCTCCCAGGACACTGGACATGAGGCTACTGCTGGGCGGGAGGAGCTCGGCATCCCCACCGCCCCCACCTGTCACCTTGCGTGGAGGCTGCCGTTAAACACAGTCTGGCACTTTCTCCAGCCTCTCCGGCGTTATGATAAATAACTGAACTACGCCACACACGTCAAAGCCAATGACCCTCTCTCAGAGGGAAATGAATCTCCACAGGTACAGCAATCTTTCTCCTGCAGTGCGTAAACGGGGACCTGAGTCTGCAGCAGCACAGGGCACCCATGCACCAGAGTTCCTGCCTCCAGCACGGCAGCTAGGTCTGCGTATCTCTCCTTGGCTCCCCGCAAGCCAGCCCTGGGCCCCAAGCTTCCTCCCTGCCTCGTTTCCCTGGGATCCAGGGCTCCCTGGGCAGGCAGGGTCGGGACTGTGCAGCCCGAGCTTCCCCGACATGTGATTCTGGGACTGGTGGCTGGGGAAGGACAGGGGCTAGGGCCAGGCCTCCACCGAGGCCTGCGTGGACACACAGGCCCTTTGCTGGGGTGCGGCATCTGAGGCCCGGTCAAGCAGCTGGCGCAGGAGTGCAAAGCCATAGCGGCAGCCGTGGAGGGAGGGGGCTCATATCGTTACGCGCTGATTTACATTTACAGCCCGCCAGGTGCTCCGCTCCCACGTCAAGTGCTCACGCCGATTTTTTATGCAAGATTGAACAACTTAACGGCCTGAACAAGTCGGATGACAAGACTTTAATTGCTATTTTTCTCCCTCCGTCCCTCAAGAGAGCTATATGTAGACATTTAGAGAGGTATTTCATAAAATAGGAAAGAAAGCAATTCAGGAAGTTCCGTGTAAATCTGCCTCCCGCGCTCTGTGTGACAGCAGCGCCCTGGGCAGAAGACACACGTGGTGTGGATCCCGTGCGGCCGCAGCGGACAGGAAGCCTGGGAGGGCCCGCGGCTGCTCCAGTGGACCAGGTCCTGAGGCTCAATCGCCTGCCTCCAAGGAGCAGGAGGGAGGGTCAGGAGGGGCTCCCCTGGGGCTCAGGCTTCCCCTGGTCACTTCCTCTTCCCCCTCCCCCTCCCTTCCTTCCTTCCTTTCCTCCTTCTCTTCTTTTCTCTTCCTTCCTTTCCTTCCTCCCCTCCTCCTTCTCTCCTTCCTTTGTCACACACTGACCGATGCTGCATAGAGTCCACCCAGTGACCACTGAGAGTCATGCTGGGGCTGGCCCCACGGCCCAGCAGGGCAGGGACAGGTGGGGCCCTGCCCAGAGGATAGGCGAGCAGCACTGGTCCAGCAGGGCTGACCTGGGGGGGCACCCAGAGGCTTGTGTGCGGGGCGGGGGATCGATACCGTCGATGGCTGCTCGAGCCTGGCGGAAGATGCATGAATGCATGTGTGGGGGCGGGGAGGGGATAACAATGACAGTAATTTGTTAGCGAGGATCCCCTCACCTTCCGGCGGGGTGTGATGAACGACTCCTTAAGAAGGCAGGAGACGTGTCCGGGGACCAGATGGAAATCAGGCTTTCTCCGGAACCCGCAGCCCCTCGGAATCCCGGGAGCTGCCTTGGCTGCGTGTGGTTCATCTGCAGTGTACTCAAAGGACCCTGAAGGTTGGAATTTTCCTTTTAAGAAATTGCTCGGGGCGGCGCGTTCCCCTGAAGAGCCTGGCTGACATTTCTCATTAGCGCCTCCCACACAGCGGAGGATCCCAGGCAGAGTGGGGCAGGGCACACTGACCTTTGTCCTCCTGAGAAGGGGATGGTCAGCAACACCCATTGCATCCTTATGCCGCGAGGGAGGGACTGAGGGCTACTGTGTAGCCCCATTCTAACCACACGCATTTGCATCAATAGGTAAACTGAGCCTAGAGAGGACCAGGGGCAGAGCTGCATCTTAGAGCCCTTCCCCAACCCCAGGCCCAGAATCCCTTCAGGGTCCAGGGGGCGTCGGCACCTGCCCTGTGTTCAGCCAGGTGCATCTGGAGGGCGTGAGCAGATTGAGGGGACCACAGAGAATGCTGCTAGGCTTGCACACACATGCACAAACAGGTATGCACATGCATGTGCACACAACACAGACACACATGTGCACATACAGGTGTGGCACAGCACTCCCCACACACCCACACACTGGTGCACGCGCCAGGCAGCTGAGTCACTGTCCAGGCTCAAGTCCAGGGTGTGAAGTGCGCTGGCCTGGAGACCTGTGTGGGCTGAGGCCTGTGATTGAAGCTGAGCCAGCAGCCAGGCAGCCCCACCGCCCAGCCCTCGCCTCCTCCTGGCTGATCCCTCCAAAGCCTCGGACACCGTGATGGCAGTGAGGGGCAGGCAGGGGCTGGACAGAGTGAGGGGGAGGGGGTGCACCGTGCAGATGGAGGGGGAGGGGCCCTGGACTCAGCAAAGGAAACACAGGAATCAAATCACTTCCTGGGGCTGGGGAACCTCCAGTCCTAATTAAATAGCCGGCCCCAGAGCCGCTGTCAGAGATGGTTCCGGGGCGGAGAAAACAGCTGCTGCCCTTGGAAGGGAAGGACGGCCGCTCCCTTTGATGCAGCCCGGCACCCACCGCGTCTAATTAGGCCGGGCTGTGCCTCCTGTCCTGAGGCACAAATCCATATTTACAGGCTGGGCGGGCGGGGCATTGCCCTCCTCCAGACTCGCCTCACTCTCAGGCTGTCAGGGCCGGGCCACTCCTGGCTGAAGGGACACAGGGGCCAGTGCAGGCCTCGAGCACCAGGGGGGCTGAGCCAGAGTCGGCTGCAGAGCCAGCTGGGTGGTGGTTACACACTTTCTAGAAAAATCTCTGGCCACGTGGGCAGTGCAGCAAGGGGACACAGGAGTATGGGACAGAATAGCCTCTGCACTCATTAATGCCGAAGCCTCACCCCAGGATTCTGCAGAGAGGGACCACAGCTGGGGACAGCTGGGGGGGCAGAGGGGTTGCAGGTGGGGCTCAGAACAGAAACTGGGGACGCAGGGTCCACACCACTGACCTCCCAGGCTCTGGGCACCAAGAGCCAGGGAGCCCGGGAGGCGCACTCCTGCTGTCCCAGACTCTGGTGCCAGTGCCTCACAGGGAGCACATGGAGGCCATGCTGTGCGTGCACTGAGCCTGTGCTGGGGCCCCAGCCTCCCCCGGGCCCAGAGTCCTAGCCAGCATGTGGCACACAGGTGCTTCCCTTATCCTGGAACCCTCCGCTGAGGAGCGTGTGAGCCAGCATTCCCAGTCAAGAGCCCACCTGCGCCAGCGGGCAGCAACCCTGACATGGTCCGAGGGGGGCTCAGCACGGCAGGGCTGGGCAGAGGTGGCTCTGTTCAGCCCCCGCTTCACAGGCTGCTCTTTGCTGGGAGCCGGGCCTCAAGTTTCTGCCTAGGAGTCTAGGAGCTGTGAAGGCTTCCCGTGTTTCCTGTAGTGCATTTTTGCGGGGCCGAAGGTCTTCATTGTCTCATATCTGAAGCTTTTTTCTTCTACTTTCCTTCTCTCAGAAGGCTTCTGCTGTATGTGGGGGGAGTTTCCAGGAGTAGGCTGCAGCCTCCCCTCCACCATCTTCTGGCACTGTTCCCCTCTGGAGCCCTCCTCCGGAGCCCCCCCATCAATCTGGTGCCAGCTCAGGACTGGCTTTGGGGAGAGCCCCTCAGCCTCCAGTGCTTCTCCCCGGGTTCTGCTGTAGCTTTATGAGCTTGGGCATCTAAGGGTTTCAAACCTGCAGATCAGGGTCTTTCCTCAGCCTTTGGGACTCTAAGCCACAATTTGGATATAAGGTTCTGCCCTGTCCGCTCCTCTCCTCCGGCCTAGCCTGCCCATCCCTTGAGTGTGGCACTGTTGCACGGGACCTGACACACACGTTCCTCCTCACTGGGGCTTGTCCCCCTGCTGGAGGGTCCCAATCCTCATCTCTGCAAGTTCACTCGCTCCTTGCATTGTCTTTTCTGCTCCTACTGCTATACCCATTGTCTTAGTTACTTTTTACTCGTCGCTGAGACAAAATACCTGAAGCACCAAGTTGGGAAAGGAAAGGTTTATTTCTTATAGGTTTTGGAGGTTTCAGTCCATACTCTCAGTTGGCTCCAAGGCAAGCAGGCATGGCTGGGGTGCAGTTCCTGGTGGCTGCAAACAGCAAGCAGGAACCAGCAAAGAGCAAGTCACACCTTCTTCCTGCCATTACATCACACCCTGGCTCCACCCCTTTGTGGGTGGAGCACTGACACCATCAATCCAAGCACTAGACAATGAACCATTACAAATGCACGGTGCAAACTCATGAGGCCTGGGGGCCACAGACAAAAACCGTGACACTCATCCATCCCACTTTTAATTTCGGTTGGGTGTCTTCCGTCTAGTGTTTCTCTCAGTTTTTTTTTTTTTATGATTTCTACTTTTCTACTGCTTTTATAACGTCATATATATTATCAGTAGCCACTTTAATTTCTTGTCTCCTCAGTCTCCACTCATCTGGGTTCTACCCTCTGGACTGAAGACCCTCACAATCAGCCTGGGGTTCAGGCCACGGAGCCTCTGTCCTCACAGCCCGAATCTCCACTGACTCTCTGAACTGTGGCTGGGGCAGCGAGGGGAGAGTTCCCGCTTAGACTTCTGGATCTGCTCCTTCCGGTCTGTTTCCTTTCTTCCTTTGACGCGCCCCACCCCCACCTCTCTGTGGCTGAGTTTATGTCTGCCTTGTCACCTGCCCAGGAAGACCATGTACTTTCTGTTGGACTCCAGATAGCATCTGGGACCCACATGCACGGTGCTGGGCAGGTGGCGCTCAGCTCCAGGGGCTGGGCCATCTCCAGTGCCTTCAGAAAGCCGTCGTAGGGTGTACGGTCCAGTGTGGACTGTCGTCATCTTGGGGAGAACAGTCTGACAGGAACCAACTTGGCTGTTGCAAGGACCCACCTGGGAGGCTTGTCCATGCTGGTCCAAAGTCGCTTTAATCCTGAGCTTGTTCACCTCCTGCCAAGGTCCGCACCCTGCTGGATTCCTGGCTGGGCCCTTCAGTGTTGCTGGGATGGATTTCTGAGGTTGCGGTGATGAGGCTGGGTCTTATCTGATGAGCCTGTACCTGGTGAAGAGAGGAAGTCTCATCATGTCCTCCACCTGAGGACATGGAGAGGAGGTGACCTCTACAGGACTCTGGGCCTCTAGCTCCACAACTATGCAGTGTGAGCTGCCCCTGCCATGTGTCTCGGTGTCTGGTGGTGATTTGAGGCCTGCAGATTCTCTCTCTGGCTGCATGGCATGCGCCTGTCTCCCGCCCTACACCACCTGGGAGCTGTTCAGCTGTCACTTGCTGTCCACTGCCCCGTGGCGCCCACCATGCACCCACCTACACTCGAGGGCCCCTGTGGGGACATCCAAGGCTCTTCCAAGATGCAGCTTCCTTGTACATCTGGCTGTCTAATTCGGGCCGCCCCAGCTTCACTGTGCTCAGTGTGTGCCTCTTAACTCAGTCTGACTTGCCTGCACCTGCAAGGTCCTCCTTCCTGTGCCACAGCCCAAAACTACCTGCCATGCCTCACCGGCCTCCTCTGTCCCTTCACTCAGGGATCCCAGGTGTGCTCTACTTGTGGGAATCAAAACAACAGACAGACATGTGCCCCCAGCTGGAGCACACTCACACACATGCACACACACATGCACACACAGACCAGGAGTGGTGACTGATATGCTTAGGTGAAAACTCACCTGTAGCCAGAATTAGACCAAGAAAGAACAGCGCCAGAGCCCCCAGCAGGGTCTCCATCTTGGGGCTGCCTCTGTTCTTACTCCCTGCACTGTACACTCGTTTCTGCTGGTTTTGACTTTCACATGTGAAAATCTACGAGATCAAACCAGAGAGAAGAGTGATCAAAAGACACAGTGAATATTCACGTTTTAAAAAATGTCCACTACAGTCTAAGAACCGGCCACTAAAGCCCCAGAACTCCCCCATCTTGCCGTAAAGCCTCGCATCACACTGCCCCAGCTGCCTTCATCAATTGAAAACGCTCCCCGGCCGGCCGCAGTCATTCTGACTCCCGGAGAGTCCAGTGGTCTGACTCTGGGAAGGCCCAGCCCTCGCCGGCGGGACCCACTGAGGGAGTTGGGTGAGGAGCAGCGTCCGCCTGTGCAAGCTGCTTTTGTGTGAATGGTGCCCGGCAGCAGCAGTCACAGTGGTTCTGATCACGTCGGGTACAGAGGGCCACAGAGGAGGACTCTGAGCTGCTCAGAAAGTGGCTCGAATGATAGTATGTGTGTGAGAGGGTGGGGTGTGTTTGAGGGGAATTCATGGCCTCGTGCCTTTTATTGTAGTTTGTAAAATGTAAGCAGTCACTGTCCACAGTGTCCCTCTTCACGTGTTTTGCATTGGCACAGCGGTTAACTCTGGTTCCTTTTCTTCCAGAGCTGAGGGCTGAATCCAGGGCCTTTGTGCTGAGCTGCATCCCCACCCCCTTTACTTCACATTCTGAGACGGGGTCTCACAAGTGGCCGTGATCCAGGCAGGACTCAGACTCGCCCTCCTGCCTGGGCTTCCAGAGCTGGGGTTCACCAGCGGGCATCAGTGCAGCCGCACGGGCTCCTGGGCTTCTGTTGCCTGTTGCCCACGGCAGAATCAGCCCCCACGTCCCTTATTCTGGAGCATCGTGTGGAACACCCAGGGCTGGTTCTGGCGCTGCCTGTGGCCGCGCTTCCAGCTGTGAGGCAGAGTTCCCGAATTCTCCCACTGAGCAGTGCGCTCACTTACACCCCACTTGCACCCGCCTGTCCCCCAGGGCGCACGGGCTGGGCCACAGTGCTTTTGTTCAGCACTGATCAAAGCAGGACCTCCGGGAAGGGGGGGACTCCCTGCCCCGCCCCCCACCACGTGCGGCGTCTACCTTTTGTTCAGCCGCTGCCTGCTCCTGGCAGAGTCCAGGCTCACACCAGGGACACAGCTCACCCTTCCCGCCGGCTGAGGCGTTTGGCTCTGCATCTTCCCTGCGTCTACAGGCGTCCGGAGAGCCCGGTTCACAAAGTGCGAATGCAAATATTTGCCTATTTTTCTATTCACTTGCTTCCCCTCCTGCTTTTTGAAAAATTAATGTACTCTCTTTCTTTACTGCGGATGTGAGTCTTTGTTAGATAGGAGTCTCACAGACGCCACCTCCCAGCTCGGCTTCCACTCTGCTGACGGGAGATCCGCTGAGAAGTTGTGATGGGCGCGCAGGCCAGGGCTCGACTTACTGCCCTTGTGGACTGTGGTGCTGTGTCGTTCCACTTCCTGGAGTTTTAGTGTCGAGCCATCCGCGCGCACAGAGGACTGAATTAGGATTCTGAGTTGCATCCTCTTCCCTTTGTTTCAGGAGCAACTTGACAGGCAGGCCCTTTATTTCCCCGTAAATCATTGATAAGAGTATCAGAGGATCCAGGACTGATGTCAGTCCCTGGCCACCCGCAGACCTCCGCGGGGTGACACCGGCCCATTAGCGGCTCTCTTTGTCTATAATTATATACAGCAAGCAGAATTCACTTAACAGATCGTCTGGGATGTGTCGTGAGGATTTCATACTCAAGAATAACATGGCAGGCTTTGCAAATGCCTGCTGGAGTCACAACAATCACAGGTCCCTGTCTGCAGGGCTAAGGACCATGACAAGAAGGGACAACGTGGTTAGTCTCGCATGGCCAGGTCTGCGGAGCCACGGAGGCTGGGGGGGCGGCGCTGAGGGACTGCCAGCCCTCTTCCCTGGGACCACACATGCACTGCAGAGGGCTGGTATTTTAAGAAGTCAGCAGGTCCCCTTCCTGTTGAGCAGCCCCCCCAAATATGTGTGTGGGAGGGTTGCCTAGCAACTGCTTCTCTTGCTGCTGTCACCAAGCCCCCAGTCTGGTACCTGAGCCCCAGGGCGGGAGGTGCCTGGAGGGAGAGGACTGTGATGGAGGGGTGGGCGGGGCTTCATTGGGTTCCAGGCTGGACAGACCTGGAGGAAGGTGTGCAGACTTGGAGCAAGGCCTTGGAGGCCCTGGAGGCAGGAGATGGGGTGGGCTTCTGCAGCTGCCAGGGGAGTTCCCAGCACAAGGACAAGAGAACAGGGCATCTCCAGCCTGGGTAGCCAGGCTGCCCTTGCTAGGAGGTGGCCTTGGAGCTGACCCTGTGCCCAGAGCAGTTGGCTCGTGTGGCCCCCAGAGAGGCCAGACCGGGGAGGGCAGGCAGATGGCTCTGGGTAGCACATGTAGAGGAACACAGAGGTTCATAGAGGCCAGCATGGTGGCAAGGAGGGGTCAGATGGGGGCCCAGTCTTCTCAGCTCAGCCTCTCACAGCCCCCAGAGCAGCTGCAGAGTAGGATGCAGGGGGCCACAAACATGCAGTGACCACAAATCCAAACCAAGTTCATTAACACAGAGAAGTGATGGCTGAGGTGGTCAGGCAGGCTTTGACTCCCCGTCCACCCAGGCCCCTGAGCAGTCCAGTGGGCCCCATCCCCTGCCCCAAGCCCAAGTCCAGGCCCTCTGGCCTGGTCCCTTCACCAGAATGACCCCTTCCACTGCCACCAAGGCTGCTGGCACCACTCTGGCCTCTCAGGATCTCTGCCAGTGCCCCCACCATCTCAGGACACCTGGTCACGGGCCTCCAACCTTAACCTCCACTGCCTGGGTGTCTGCTCCTGCCAGCCCCATCTCTCCATACTGTGGGATCCCATGGTGGTGGCCCTCAGGTGCTGAGCAGGTGCACAGTTTGGAAGGGCTGAGCATATGACTGCCTCCACTCCAAGCCTCCCCGAGATGAGGCTCCTGGTGTGGGCACAGCTGCAGGAAATTCCAGGCCTTTCTCCGTCCAGGGCCTCACGCTCCCAGCTCCACCCCCTTAGGCATGGATGCAGGACCTTCACGGTGGGCTCTGACACAGCCGTATTTCATGTTTTATTTTTATTTTGTCTTTTTCGTTTTTATCAGTACCAGGGATCAAACTCACGACCACACACTTGCAAGGCAGGTACTTATGCCACTGAGCTAAATTCCCAGCCCCTACATTTTTTTATTTTGAGACAGAGTCTCGGGAAGTCCCTAAGGTGCCTGACTGATCTCAAACTCAATCTTCCTGCCTCAGCTTCCCAGAGTGCTAGGGTTACAGGCAGGCACCAAGCTACCTGGCTTCTCACAGCCCCCCAGAGGTATCCATGCTGGTCCCTGCAGCTCAAGGGGAAGAGGGCAGCAGGAGGTGACTGGGAGGTGACTCCTGAGCTTGGAGACCACCAGGGGCTCTTGGGGTACTAAGTGTATCCCAGGTGTCCTGAGGTAAGGGAGCCAGGGGACAGAGCTCATCAGAGAGCAAACATGGCCACCGCTTCGAGGACAGGGAGGGGACAGTCCAGGAGCATGGCACCTGGAAGCTGGAAGGCGCTGGCAGCCCCTCCCCTAGCTTCTGCTGACACTGTGACCTGGGCCCAGGCCACCAGGATGGGGTCCTGCCCTCCAGCACCATGAGGTTTTTGAAGCACAAACTTGGGGTAATTTTTCACCATGGCAACGGCATCTCAGGATGCTGGCCTGGCCACCAGCCTCCACCAGGACACTCAGCGCATGCCAGCGTCCTGTATTGGGCACGTCTGTCCAGCAACCCCTCCTAGGGTGGCAACTGCACCACTGCCTGAGGACAGCAGAGGACTCCACCTTGGCCCTGGGGAGCTGGGGTCAGATGAGGGGAACCTCAGCACCAGGAAGCCCCTTTTTCCCCAGGCACCACCCAGGGAAAGCTGACCAGGCCCACCCTGCCTCCAGGAGGGCAGGCCGGCACCTGCAGCCAGCTTCCCCAGGGGCGGCTGCTGCCAACGTGGCCTTAATTGAAAGCAGCAAAGCGAACGTTTGCTTTGCTGATCCACCGAGTTAGCGCGCACAGTATTTTAATTAAGCCTGTGACAGATGAATCTCAATAAAGCAGCTGTTCAGCAGCGCCAGCGCAGGTAGATAAATAGGATGCGGGGCCATGACACGGGGCTGCCCCGCGCACATGTAGCTGGGCCTCAGGAAGGTCCGTGGGTGGTGCTGGGGAAGCCCCAGGTGACCAGCACAAGAGGACTGCAAGGCTGCAGGCCACCGGGGAGCGGCCAAACCCAGACCCCACCAGAGGGAACACAGTGCGCAGGTGCTGAGTGGCCCCGAGCAGGGTCCTCGGGCCGCCCTGGGGACACCTTGGGCCTCGCCCTGGCCAGTGTGCTCTTGGGGAGCAGGAGTCCCCGCTTCCCACAGTGGCAAACCCTCGAGGTGGTGAACAGCAGCAGCCCAGGGAGTTCAGGATGGGGTGGTTCTGGGGTGGTGTGGGCTCTGCTCTGGGCTGGGAGCAGGGGTGGGCTGAGGGGGGAACAGGGCCACGGGTGGCAGCCCTCGGGCAGCCTCAGAGTGGGAAGCCACCAGGCATGGGCAGTGCTGCCGCAGAGGACCTCTCCAGGGCAGGAAATGTGGGGACAAGGGAGGCTGCGGGTGCACCCTAGAGCCCACCCCGCCTTCCCCTCTGTGTCTGAGTCCAGCCCTCTGTGAGGAGGACACACCCCCCAACCCCCCTCAACAGAGCACACCTGCGTGAGAGGTGCACTCAGCACGGAGGTACTCGTGATCCTCCCAGAGAAGCCAACCTGAGAGAAACACGAGGCATCTCTGGGACAGATTTCCTTCCTTGGTGAAAGAAAGAACTATATAAAGAGAGGCCACCCTTATTCTTGCCTGATTTAGATACTCCTGTGTGTAAATGTGATGCTGGAGCTGAGGCAGCTATTTTGTGATGAGGTGTAATGAGCCAGAGAACAAATGGCCAACATTTGAGTGTGGATGAGGGAAAGCAGAGGATCCGGGGTCCTTGATGACATCATTATCTCTTTCCCATTGTTTCTTATGGCTTCTATTATAAGAAAGACAAAGAAGAAAGAAAGAAAGAAAGAAAGAAAGAAAGAAAGAAAGAAAGAAAGAAAGAAAGAAAGACACTTCCACAAATTTGATAAACAACAGAAATCTCTTGCCAGGCAGATAGGCAGGTCTTAGGTTCTGAAAGCCAAAATATGTCTCTCTAGGCTGAGAACGAGGTGTTGGCTTCAAGGCCTCCAGAGGCACAGAAGAGACCTCATCCTGCCAGCACTCCTTAGCTTGTGGGCCCGTCACCCCAGGCTCTGCTTCCCAGTCAGATCCCTTCTTTTTGCACCTCTGGCCAGATCTTCATCCCCTCCCGGATAAGGACACGTGGACTTGCACTGGAGACAGGGTAATCTGGGGTCCTCTCCCCTCTCAGGCTCCTCACTCTATCACAGGCACCCCTGCCACATGAGGTCACATCTGCAGCACCAGGGAACTAGACTGGTACCTTCCATCTTCCATCTACTGTGTGACCATTACTCTTCTCCCTTGGTGTCTTAGGTTCTCCCTGATCACTAAGATTCAATACCCCACACCCACAGCTCCAAAGAGGAGAGGTTTTAGCTCACAGTTTGGAAAAGTTCCAGTCCATAGTCCGCTGCCTCCAAGGCAGAGCAGAAACAGTTCATGGCAGGCAGGCAGGAAGCAGCAATCAAGGGAGGAGGGAAGGAGGCAGATGGTGCCAGCCTGTGCCCCCAGCACCTCCTCCACTGGCAAACATCAGCCCCTGATCCGTTCACCTCCCAAAGCCACACCTATGGGTGCTGAGGCTGGAGGACACTAAGATATCAACCCTAACACTTGGTACGTGAGAGATGGGATGCAGGATTCCAAGCTCCACCCTCTCACCCCTTCTGTAAAACAGGGTGGTGTCTGCGAGTAACCTGCACACGTCTCCCCTCACTGTGAATCACCTCCAGAGCCCATGTGCCACCGGGCATAGGATGAAGGCTCTGTAGGCAGGGGTCAGCCGTGGCACCTGGGGAGTCAGGATGACACAGACCATTATTTTTCCAAATGATTCTGGTCCCAGTGGTGCAGCTCACCACCCCTAGAGGGTCTGATGCTTTGCCCTCGTGCCCTCAGAGCCCCCCATCTGCATTCAGGGCACACAGGGGCCAAGGAAGGGACCCAGGGAGGAACACACAGTCCCAGTAGGTGTGCGATCTGTGACTGAGAAGGAGCCAGCCCCTCCCGAGACCCCACCTGGGCTGGAGGTGGCTGACGGACTATGCGCCCTGCTGACCAGAGCCACATGTCCTGAGATGGCCTCTCAGGCTTGTGCCTCCCACCCAGGCATCTTCCAGTTCCTGACCTCCCCAGCTCTGTCACTAGTATGGTCACCTCCATCATCTTCTGCCTGGTAATTGAGCAAACAATGAACTGCAGAATTGGACAAAGTCCCGTTAAGTAGTCTGGGCCCCGTCAGGCAGAGCCGGCATCTCCCCTCACCACAGAGGAGTGACGTCTTGCAGTCACGGGCCTCACATTCCCATCACAAGCCATTTAACTTGAGGTTTTGCATAAATTCACTCCAAGTGCAGCCAGAGAACCTGGTGTCAGGAGAGGGTGGATGCCGGGGCCACTGGCAGATGTCCTAGGCCTGTGGGGACCTCGACAGTGGCCTGCAACTGTGACAGTGGCCACCTCCATCCCGGGCTGTGCTGCTGAGGAGCAGTATCCTGGCAGGCCTGGCTGGTGCCCTTCCCAGTCGTGGTGATGGCAGCCCTTGAGCACCTGGGGGGCTAGAACACCTTGGCTCCCAGGCTTTGACTTCCTCCCCAGGGA